ATGTAACTGATTTTGATATTTGCTATTGTGATATAAATAAAAAAAGTTACTATAAAATACCACTACCTATTGAAAATATTTCAATAATAGACCTCTTAGATGCCCCTGATGAAGTAGGAATGCCAAAGCCACCAAAACCTACAAATTCTCTATCTACATCTCCATCTCCATCTCCATCTCCATCTATTGATAATGGTTTCAATCAAGATATAAAAAAAAGAAGAGTATGTATAAATTTAAAAAAATATTTATTTTTATTTTTTAATATTATTTATTACTAATAAATTTTTACATTAGTCCTGCAAATTAAACAAATTAGGAATTTGTGTAATAAATTTCAACAAAAAAAAAAAAGAAAATTCCTTTTTAAAAAATTTAAATAAAAAACTATACAAAGTATATATTTATAATAAAAATTTGTTTATTGTTATTTTTATTTTTATTGATCCATTTGTTAATTTGTTATATTTATTTATTTTTTTGTTTGTTTTTTTATTTATTTGTTTATTTATAAAGTATTTTTTGGTTTGAAATTTTTAAAGTTTTTTATTATTTGTTAAAAATGAATAAATTGTATTATTAATTAAAATCATTCTCTGCAAGTTGGTGTAATATTTGAATTCCTAAAGTTTTATCAAATATATAGACATAATTTATGCATCACCCATTCCACAAAATTACCCAGAGAGGTGGGTCAGTGATATTGGCTTTGTTTTATTTTTAAAAAATCAAAAAAAAAAAAAAGATATTTAAATTGTGGAAAAATTTTATTTGAAAAAAAAATTAATAAAAAATTGATTTTTTTTTTTATTCACAATATTTTTTTATTTTTAAAAATATTTAATATCTTTATAACAAATGGATAAGTGCAATAATAATAATATTATGAATAATAATAATATTATGAATAATAATAATAATAATAATATTATGAATAATAATAATAATATCATGAATAATAATAATAATAATATGAATAATAATAATAATAGTAATATGAATAATAATAATAGTAATATGAATAATAATAATACAAATGATAAATTATTTTTTTCAATTTGGAGAAATGTGTATCTATTTTGCCAAATACAAAGACATCTTAGATTATATAAAGAAAATAAAAAAATAGTTATTAACATGTCAATGGATCAACTTAGATACCATCCACATAGAAGATATGCATCAACAATTACTATCCAAATTGACCAGCCTTTAGAACCACATGGCCAAGCTATTCCTTATGGTGCGACAGGAATTGAATTCCCACATAAATTCAATCAACCAATTAAAGCAGGTGATCTTCCAAATTCAGTTACCAAGTTGTTATTTGGTCCACACTACACTCCTCAGGAATTTAGTATCGGAACGTTTCCAAGCTCATTGGCCCATTTAAATATATATACATTCAATAAGTGTATTGAGCCTGGTCTATTTAATTCGGTAACAGAATTATACCTAAATTCCTTTAATCAAGTTTTAAAAATAGGTGATTTACCTAAAACATGTCGAAAACTTCACCTTTTTTCATATAATCAACCACTTTACCCAAACGTTCTTCCACAATTAATAAAACTACATCTATCAACTTTTAATCGCCCATTATTGGAACAAGGTATACTTCCTGAATCAATCACTGAACTCAATATGAATAAATATAACCATCGACTGTTAAACTCCCTATCATCGCTTACATCCATAAAAACTCTAGAAATGGATTATTTTAATCAAGTGATATCTAGTAATGAATTACCCAACACAATAGAAACTTTAAAGCTTATTCTTTTTAATCAACGTTTAAAACCAAATGTACTTCCATCATCCATAATCGTACTATGTTTAAACAACTACAACTATCCATTAGAACCACAAGTAATACCACCCAAAGTACAAACTTTGGATCTATACCGTTATAACTGTGAATTTGGTGAACACCTACTCCCTAATTCTTTACTGCGTTTATCTTTATCAAGATTTAACAAATTTTTATTTGAAAATTTTTTACCATCATCAATTACAGATCTAGATTTCGGCGATGATGGTCCAAATACATTTGAAACTAAATCAATTCCTCCATCAGTTAAAATATTAAGATTCCCATCATTACATAGATTACTTCTTCCAACCGGTATTATTCCCGATTCAGTGGTGGATCTAACTTTACCTCCTCACTATAACCATCCTCTTCAAATAGGCTTATTACCAAAATCTCTAACAAAACTATCTTTTGGCTATTATTATAATCAACCTCTAAAACCAAATACAATTCCTCAATCTGTTACTCAAATAAAACTATATGGACCCTACAATCACACAATACCAGATTCCTTAATAAACAGATTAAATATAAAAAAATACAATTTTTAAATAAACTAAACCCATTCATTTACAATAACTCTTAATTTATGATCAAGATCTATTGATATTCTCATATCTAGATTATAATCGGTATTCAATTAATATTTAATATGAGTATAATTATTAAGAAAGGTTAATAATAGAATTCTATTATTAATATTATTAATATTACTAAAAAAAATAATATATATTAAAAAAAATAATATTTTAAAATATAGATCGATATATTATTATTATAATTATGATGGAAACAAAAAAAATTGGAATGGGGTATTCAAAGATTAAAATTTTTATGGGGGGTACCAGTGTGGGAAAGGGTGCGAATTAGAAAAAAAAACTTTTATAAAATAATTTGATTGGGTGTTATAAATATAAATTTTGAGAGGTTTAATATGGCCTATAAATAGATTTAATAATTTTTAAAAACATTATTTATGAAATCACATGTTTTGAGATATAGAAAAAAATTAAAAATAACATTATTTAATTATATAAATTCCAACTTTCTAATAAATATATTTTTTGAATTTATTTTTGAGTACAGTAAAATAAAACCCACACAAAAACCCACACAAATTTATACAAACACTCTTTTGACCCCACATGTGCTCTCACACTCAATGTAAAAATAACTCAAAAGCAGAGTAATTTTATATCATGTAAAATTAAAAACGGTTTAATAACCATCTAATAAGATTGAACAACAATAATATATATTTATAATAATAATTTTTAATATGCAGTTGTAGTTTTTCTCATATTAAAATTTTCATTTTAAAAATTATAATAAACAACTTAAATAATTAAAATAGATGATTTACCATTTTTGGTATAATAATTTTTTTTTTTTTTTAATTTTTTTTTTTAAAAGGTTACACAAACTTAAATTTTAATTTTAATTTTAAGTTGTTTTTTTTTTTTCAATTCATTTTTAAAAATAAATATAATTTTTTTTTAATATATTTTTAAATCATTTTTGTAAACTAGTTGTGTTAAGAAGTTTGGTACTCAATAATTTTGGAGTAAAACAAAAAGAAAAAATTATTTTTTAACCTGTCAAAAACAACAAATTTTATAACAGTAATTTTTTATTTTAGTATTTTTTAATATTATTTAAAAACATACTAATTCTATTTATTATTTTATTAATTAAAAAAAAAAAACATAATGAAAATAGTTTTCAGTAAATAATAATCATAATATAAAATCTCACTACTATAATAATAACAATAATCATAACAATAATTTAAAATAATAATTAATTATTAAAACCATTTTTAAAAAAATGGATTGTGAAGTTGTGTTTTGGGGTGTGTTCCATAATAAATATTTATTTGAAAAAATATTTTATATTATGGATCAAGAAAAAATTGAATATAATTCTATATCCCAATATTACATTGGAAATAAAATAAAATTCAAATATATCACATCACTAGATTTCATGTTAGAAAGATCACTTCACAATTTAATATATGATAAATTAATATCCAATTTTCAAATTTTAATAAATAAAAACTCAATAAAACAACTCATTCAAGAATGTAATAATGAAATTGTATTGAAAACTTTTTTTATAAATAAAAGAAATGAAATATTAGATAATTTCAATACCATGGATCTAATTAAAAAATCATTAAAATATAATAATATAAATTTATTTAATTTTTTAATAGATACCAAGTACCATTCTGTTACTCTCTCTGCTTTAGAATATGCTTATGAACACGGTACTTCCCAAGTTATTAAATCGTTGTATGGTTTTTTCACTACTGGTTCAAATAATCAATCACAATATTATAAATATATACTTAAAAATGCATTATTTTTGTTATATAGAAATAAAAATATAACTGGAGAAGAAAGAATACATTTTATTGAAAATTTTAACTCTATAATTAGGAATTTATCTGAATCAGAAAGAATGATATGCCACTTTGAAAAAATGGGTTTTTTCAATTTTTTAGAAATTGAATCTTTTTCTCATCAGATTGAGCTTTTAAAAAGTAATTTAGTTGAACCAATTGACTCATATATACAACAATTCTACAAATATTTGGAATCAAGATTTAAAATACTATATACCGCAGAATATTATCGTATTTTTTTAATAGTTATACAAGTATTAATTAATAATAAACCGCTCGAGTCATCAATAGAAACTGCTTCAAGTCATAGTGCCACTTTATGTCCAAAAAATATAAAAAGAATTATATGTATTGAATCTCAAAATGAATCATTACTTTTTAGTTACTTTTCTCAATATGATGAAATTATACCCGGTACAAAACATAGTATAGTATATCAATATACTTTTTCAACCTTTTCAACAAGTGGCTTAGTATATTTATATAATAATCATCATAAACAACCTACAATTCCCAATTTTGTCATTAAGAAAATTAATCAAAGATTTTCAAATCATATATTAACTGAAAATAATTTTAACAAAAATGTTCTTATGGATTTCATAAAAAAGTATTTCGACCAAAATAGAGTTATATTTACAAACTGGGGCCAAGTATTAAAGTTTTTTATCAATTTTCTTACTACTCCAATAATCAATAGATTTTTTTCAGATATTAGATCTTTAAGAAATAAAATCACAGTAGAATCATTTCAAATGATAACAGAAATTTTGGAAATTGTTATTAAACCCTGTGTATTTAAAAAAAAAATAAACAAAGATGCTCAAATTATAGAATCCAACAGTGTTTTGCAAACCCTTGTTGATGATGGAATACCAGTACACCCAAAGTATTCAATCAACTTTTCAACAAAGAAAATATTACTTTCAACTGAGAGTGAAATTGACTATATTTTACAAAATCTTAATTATTTTGATTTCGGCTATTTACTCATTAATCCAAAGTTCAAAAATTTAAAAACATCAATTTACTTTGACCAAAGAATTTCAAATATCCCAAAGCTCTTAATTTATATCTATTGCTACATCAAAGAATTATTTATAAAAACAAATTTGGCAAATATAAAGGAAATAGAATTATTAATTAGTTCAAAAGCAAAAAACAAAAATCCAATCAATCCCTTCAATAGCAAATACCATTCCCAATCATTTTCTAATGTAGTAAATCAATTAAATAACAGTATAGAAATGGATAGATTAAAAAATATTTCCAATAATTCAAATACAGAAAACTACAATTATCATTCCCTATCTGATAATGATCAGTTTTTTATTAAATCTTTTGGTAATAATTTTTATTTAGAATTTTTACAAGAAAACAAGGGATTAATGGAAAAAATTATTAAAAATTCAATGATTTTAACTTTTGACCAACTTGATAATAAAACATTAAAACCAATTTCCGATTATGAAGAAATTTTAAATCATTTGGGAAACAATGTGGAAACTAATTCTGTTATTTTAGTCGGGTTAATACAATTTATCTATTATGAATATACAATTATATCAATTAATAAGTTAAAGTTCAATTTTGTTTATTTCCAACAAGAATTAATCGAGTTATTTTTCAGATTACTTTTTGACAAGCATTTATGCAAAGCCATTCACTTGTTTGCTCAAATTAAAAAATTTGAAAATCTTTTTGTTTCAGATACACTAAATATCTTTGTAAAAAGGTATTTACATATAATTGGATACAAAATTTCCTTTGATAGTGGCCAAATTCAACTAGATACCAATATAGAATCATCCAAAATCAATGATTTAACTAAAGAAATACTAGCTAAGGTTCCATCCAAAAAATTAATAATATTTTTCCCAATTTTACAACATTTGTTCAACTTATTAGTCTCATGTAATGATTCAACTCAAGATATTATTATAGAAAATTTGGCCCGTCTCCGTTATCACTCTGTTCCAATCATCATTGGTTATTATCATTATTTTTATTTTTTAAATTTAAAAGATAAAAAATTATGCTTCTATTTGGTTAGAAAACAATCGTTTGTACACAAACTATTCAACTCTACTAATGATTATGATGGTTTTTTAAATGACAATCTTTTTAATCAAATAATTCCAAAGGAATATGAAAACAACTTAATACCAGAAATTTTAAGCTTTGCCCAAAAAGACAATGACAATATCAATATCGAACTTTCTTTAGAAATAATTTATCATTTAAATTATAAACAATTATTAGTTATCATAAGATTCATGTTTTCAGTTATTCCTTTCTTCAGTCAAGTGCCAAAAGTGTTATATTCTTTGAGTTGGAGCATCAATGATGATGTTTTATTCTTACTTTCAATAAATGAATACGATCTCGCAATTGAAATATTCAATAGTTCTCCTCTAATCATTGAATATAATACCATTAAAACAGTTACATCAATTTATTCAATAGATAAAATAGCAAACATTAAAATCAAACAAGAAAATATTTTGAATATTTTAGTAGCAAGTTATGGTAATGATAGAGAAGATATAATAGTATATTTAATCAAAAAACATAACGATGAAATATACTCAAAATTAAAGTATGGAGTATTATTAGATCCATCAATGATCAATAGCAATAATATTAATTTATTTGAAATATTATTTAGAAATGATTCCAATACCTCTTATGTTTTATCAATTTTTATAGACAATTGTATAAAAGTTAATCGTAACATTATCATATTATTGTGGGTCATAATGAAGAAGAAATATCCAATTTTAAAAAAATACAATTTGAATGATTTTTTCAATAAAAAATTAATGGGATTTTTAATAGGAAAAACCAAGGTTCTAAAGTTATCTATGATTGGAAGATACTGTCTTAAAAATAATTTATTTCTTTTAAAATAAAAGATTATTTAAAATAAATAAAAAAATAATAAAATTGTTAAAAAAAATATTATAAATTATTATCACAATTATATTTGTTATATATAAAATAAATAAATAACCAGATTATTAAGTTCTTAATAAATTCTAAAAAATATTTTTTAACAATTGTAAATAAATAAATGATAAAATAATTAATTAAAAAAATAATTTTACAATATAAAAGATTTAATATTTTAATTTTTATTTTAAAGACTATTATTAAAATGCTCATTATTATATGATTCGTCTGGGAAATCTGATTTCAACATCTTTATATAGTCTATTTAGAAAACCGGTTGTGTCTTTGTTTCTGATAATTGAAACACGTTGCAATAAGCTATCATATTACTTTTTTATTGGAAAAACTTTATAAACTAAAAAACCAATTAATATATATATATTATTTAATTAGTTATTATATAGTTAATTTGTTTAATAATTTATGATAAAAATATATTTATATTTATATATTAATTAATATATAATTAAAATATAATTAATATGGGAGTGTCTAACAACCTGTATCATCATTGTATTTTGGTATAGGGATTGGGAGTTCATAATTTTCAATTTCTTTTTCTTTTTCTAAAAATGATAAGTAATTTTCATCTTCAAAATCATAATCAAAACCCTTTTTTTTTTTTAATATATTTCTAAAAAATATAATATGATATTAATAAATCAATTGAAAATTAGTAATGATTAATTGTTACCTAAAAAAATAACTACAAAATTATTTAAGAGATAAAAATAAAAACATAAATAAAAAAAGGTAATTAATTTAATTTATAAAAACAATCAATTTCCATTCTTGCAATTTAATAATTAATTTTATAATAATAAAAAACAATAGTAGTTATTTTTTGTTTTATATTTTTGTATAATATTATATATTATGTAGTAATTGAACATCTTATTGGCAAGAAATTAAACATTACAGTGTGAAAATTTGTGTTTGAAATTTTGTGTTAAAATTTCGCACAAGTACCCCCAAAATTTACAAAAATTCACATTTTAAAAAATAAAAAAAAAAATTTTTATTAATTTTTTTAAAATAACCACACAAACATTCTCACTCTTTAGAAATAAACTTTTTTTTTTTTTTTTCATTAAAATAAATTGTATATACTAATTTGGATTCGAATAATTAACCTTTCCCCATCAATAATTCAAAATTAATAATTTTTGCATTTTTCTATTTTTAAAAAAATATATATCCAAATAAAAAAAACATATATTAAAATAGATCCAGATTCATGTGATTTTTTTCATAATTTGAGAAAAAAAAATTAAATTGTAAATATATATGGCAATGGCAATTTATAGCTTCACCTTGATTGTTAATTTAAACAATAAAAAATTATAATTATAATAATTATTTTTATATGGCTTAATACTGATAGAGTCATTACAAGCAAATCATTAAATTTATATTTTAAAAAAAGGAATAATGGAGTTGATAATGTTTTTAATACCCTATTCTATATTAAAAATTAATATTTTTTATTACCTATCCCCCACTTCACACAATTTAATAATTTTTTTTCCCCCCACCAAACACACAAGTTTGTTAGTGATTGTTAACAATTTGCATAAATTTTTTACTATGTGTGTTTTTGAAGCTAGAAACAGATATATTTTTTTTCTATTTTTTTATTTGATTATTATAATACTATGATTGAGTCTCAAAAGTATTCAAAACTATATAGAAGTTTAAATATAAAAGTAACCAATACAAATGAACTTGAAGTATTTTTAAAAACAATTCTTTTTTCGCCATTGATTCACGCTCTGGTACTCCATCCGTTTTTAATTTTTTATCATCATTAACACTTAATCTTATCTGCTTGAAATTTGTGAGTATGGAGTTTAAAATTGCTATTAAAATAGGAGAATCCTAAGAACTTTAAAAGAACTTTCACTACCAAAAGATTATGATCAGCCACCTCATCATTATGTATAACAAATTCAAAAATTCAAATCAATTATCTTTATTATAGTCTTTATAAAAGAAACAATAATCCTCTGTTTTATATTTATTTTTTGTAACATGTTAAATAATTATCTATTAAATGTTATTTTATAAAATTGTAACAATTAACATTTAACATTTTTTAATTTCACCCAGTGCTTTTATAAATTTATGTAGAAATTTAAATTAAACTATATCACCTCGAACCACACTTTTTTCATTTTTATGTATTTTTATGTAATTACATTTTTATGTAATTTTATGTAAGATTATGTAAAAATATGACAAAAAATGATAAAATATGAAACCAAAAAAAAAATTTTCATTATTTTACATTTTTTTACATAAAAATATAAAGCCAAAAGTAATTATAATTATCTTACATTTTTTACATAAAAATGTTAAATTATGATAAAATATAATCCAATACAAAATTTTTAAAAAAATATTTTAAAATATATATTTTTTATTTATATAATTCATATAATTTTTTATTTTTATTATGTTGTTTTTTATATTTGTGCAAATTATAAATAAAATGATTTGTTTTAAAAACTTTCACTACTTGAATATTCTTCACTATCAGAATAGTCACTAAGGGTTTCGTTTTGGATGGAATCGATTTCAATATTATTTAATGAGGTTTTGGTTTTTTCATCGGATGATTGGTACAATGATTTTAAACCTATATCGAATGATTCAGTTATTTTTTTTTTATTACAAAATTGAATTTTGTTTTCCTTTTTTATTTTATCAATAGAAATATATGTTTGATATGAAAAATTATTTTTACTGAGTTTATAAAATGCAGAATTAAACTATTATTGATGATGGTTGAATTATTGATTGAAAGCTTGGTTGTTGAATTGGGTGAATTATTTGAAAAATTAGGTAAATTATTTTCTTTAAAATATTGTTTTTGAGATGAAGATCTTGGGGTGGTAAATAAAAAATTTTTTCACCAAAATAATCAATAACTTTTTAAAAAATTAGTATTTTATAAAGTTAAATATTTTTTAAAAATAAAATAAGCACTTACTGGTGAAAGCTTCTTGATAAACTTCTGGATGCACTTCAAGGGACCAAATACCATAATCCGGTTTTCAAAGACCAATTAACGGATGCGAGACCCAAACCAATGGTTTGTGCTCTTCCACTGTGCAATAAATCCACGTCTCCAGTTGACCTGATTCAATGGACTTCAAGACAGTGTTAATAAGAAAAGATAACTCTTCCTCGACCACAAATTGATGTCCCGGATTACGATTTAATAAATCATTGGAGAAAAATGATATTAGATACATAAAAAAAAAAAAATTTATTCCAAATTGGGACAACCATAACTGAATTTATTTATTTATTTATTTATTTATTTATTTATTTATTTATTTTTACATACAAAATGGATAGATCAGTTTATATATTTTTTTTTGAAATCGTTATCAAAATTTACATCATCCATCCTGATAAACCAAAAAAGAAAATAAAAAGAATTTACAAATAATAAGAGAAATAATAAGAGAAATAATAATAAAAATTGGTGTGTAAAATAATTTAATAAAAAAGAAAAATTTAAATTTTTTTTTTATTTTTTATTTTTTAAATATTTAAATAATAAATTTTTTTTTTTTTTTTTGATTATTTTGAATTAACCAAAATTTTTTTTTTTATTAAAATATATTTATTTTAAATTTTATTTAAAAATTTACAGTTAATTCATTATTATTACTATTATTATTACTATTATTATTATTATTGTTTTTATTTTTTTATTTATTATTTATACATTTTTTTATTTTATTTATTAATTTTACAATTTATCAATTTTTGTTGCAGCCTTGTACCCTGGATTATGGAAAGCAATATTACAAATATCATGGAGGAACACACTATGACATTCACATTGAGCTCTTATATATGAATTTTGTTTATAGCCTACCCCTTCAATTGGATCACTATTACACACAAAACAAGAACCTCTTTGTTTTTTATTTCCATCAATTGTAACATTAACGAGCTTTGGAAAAAAGATTGTATTTCTTGATGTTTTTCTAACACTTGATGTTTTGGATGCTAATTGGTTATTAGCTAAATGAAATATAAACTCTTTGAAACAGAATTCCTTCTCGCTATTTCTTAAATGCATGTTTATTACACAATTGCATGGCAGTTACATAGTGTACAAAACATCATTTAATATAACTCTTGGATAGTTGGGCGAGCGGTGGATATTTCTTTGTGGGTTTATAACCATTTTGGTTGAGTCAACAAAGTTGTGGTTATGGTTGTATAAATGAATTACTCTCGGCGTATTGATTGGTTTGGTTGTGTATCTATCTGTGTTTTTATCTTTAACTCTTGTAGATTTTTGAAGGTCCTCTTATTTCTCTTTAAAAATTGGTTTTGGTATATTCGTTAAAGAGTAAAACATTTTATTTTTTTTACATTGCCATGCTATGGCTGTATATTGACCATTTTGAGCATAAAGACAATCACCAACATTATCAAATTTTAATTTGGATTTTATAGCTCTGGGTTCTATAAAATTGAATAGTGAACCAATTCTATTTGAGGCAATTAAAACTATAAAATAAAAACCAGATAAACTTAAAAGGTTAACATTTTTTACACCACCCAAATAACCAGCGTCAATAACAAAACAGTTGGACCCTCTAGTTGCAATCTCTTCAACTTCTTTTACTTTATTTAACGCTCTATTTAAAATTTCGTAACCCAAATTTGGTTTCTTTGATTTCTTTGGTTGATCTACCATATCATTTCCATCTTGAGTTTGAGCTTGAGCTTTCAAGATTTTAGATACAAGATGTTCAATTTCAAAATGATAAGTATACTTGAATTTATCAACCAATTTCCATAAAACATTACCAACTTTATCAGCTTTACCTGGAACCATCTTTTTTGAACCACCAATACCACTCCATCCAAAAAGATCATCATCAAAAGAAAATTCAAAACTTGGTGAATAATGCTTCTTTATTAATTCATTGGCATATTCATAAATTAGTTCATGATTGGCAGTTTGATGTTTAGTACCAAAACCTTCCCAACGAAAACATTTATGGATAGCTTTAAACCTTTTAAATGACATTAATTTTACAATAGTTGGATTATAATTTGAAAGTGAAAGACATGAACCTTTTGGTTTTTCCCAATAATCATGAATATTTGTAATTCTATTTAAACCAGCAAATAGGAAAATTGATAAATAGATTCTAATTTCCTCCAAAGTAAAATCGTCATAAAGGGAATACCATGGTGGTTGTGAATTTGATTGTGATGATTGTGGTGTGTAGTTGGCTTTTTCTTTTGCTGAAATTTTTTTATACCTTTTGTAATTATTCGTTGAAATAACCAAACGGTTGAGAAAGTCGGTAAAATATAGTTCAAAAACATGCTGAATAACGTTATCTCTAACTGGAGGAATATTTGATGGAAGAGATTCTTTTGGACCTTGTTTTTCATATTCGCGTGGTAAAATATTTTTTTTCATAAATTCTATATTATTTAATTGCTCTTGGGAAAATGTAACACCAGGAGGACAATATTCACTATCTTTAAGCCATTCTGAAGGAGGTTCTTGATTTTCAATTTCTTCCTCATGTTCATCTTCGTCCTCATCTTCATCTTCATGTTCATCTTCGTCTTCGTCTTCGTCTTCGTCTTCATATTCATATTCATATTCATCTACTTCATTTTCGGCCTCTTCTGAATCTAAAACAAAAGAATCTTCATCACAATATTCGTTATTACCAATATCTATAATTGATTTTTTTATATATTTATACTGAACTATTTTATTATTGAATATTTCTACTAACTTTACTTCACTATCAGGACTGAGTAATACTCTCTCTGGTTCGAATATTTCAATTTGATCACTAATTATTTCCCTCTTTATAATTTCTTTTAATAACTTTTTAACCGTAATAATTGGTTTTTCTCTGTCTCTAATGATATTAATCACTTCATTTAATGTATATTTTAATAAAAACAACCAAAGTGAAAAAAGTTTATAGTTGACTTTGATATCGTGACATACTGTATTATTATCATTGATTGTATGATCAATTGTAATTACTATTGATTCTAATAATAATTATAAAATTTAAATTAGTATTTAATTATAATTGTTATTTGGTTGTTACACCTACTCTTTTCAATTTTTTTTTCTTTTTTTTATTTTTATTTTACCAAATTTTTGACTTAAAAAAAAATTATAAAAATTAAAAAAAATTAAAAAAAAAAAAATTTTAAAAAAATTAATATTTTGAAAATAATTTTATTTTTTTTAAATTTTTTTTTAAATTTTTGTTAAAAATAAAAAAATATAATAATAAATAAAGGTTTAAAAATGAATTAAATATAAATTATTAAGTTTATTTTATTTTTTATTTTTTTTATTAAATTAATAATAATTTTTATTTATCATATGGTGGTGGTGGTTGTTGGTGTGAGTGGTGGTGAGAGCAAATTGTTGTGGAGTCTATATAGTGACTGTGGTAGGATTGGTGATAGTGGTAGTTGGGCCAGTTATGGTGGTGATGCAATTGTTGAGGCTGAAGACCATGATAATGATGGTGATGCAGCAACTGTTAAGGATGGTGGTGACCCAATTGTCGAGGATGAAGACCATGATAATGATGGTGACGCAACAACTGTTGAGGATGGTGTAACATCATTGTCCGTTGAAATATTTTGAGAGAGTGGTGGTGTTGTATGTTGAGCAACAACTGGGGCACCTGATGCTAAGGGGGGGTAGCTGGAGCAACTTGAGGGCATCCTGAAGAAACAGGGGTGGCTAATGCACATCCAGAAGAGGCAAGATAACTTTCAGCGTATGGAAAAGAAGATGGGAGTTGTACATCATCTAACAAATCACTTGTGATGTTTTTGTTGATAATAAAAGTTATCAATCTTACAATTTTATAATGTTTTGCCATATCTGATCTAAATGGAGAACTCATACTTTTGTATCTCTTGTACTTTTGGAATGCATTTTCAACACATATTCTCCAGGAGGATACCCAACTATTATATAGCTCTTCATTGGAACCGAGATTGATTTGGAATTTTCTTTTCTTTATTGACAAATTAATCTTTCTTCCCCAAAGCAACCTTTATCTGCAAAGATATATTCATTTGGTTGTGATATTAAAGAAGGGTTATTTTTTAGTGATTCACGATAGAGAGTTATATCATGTACAGATGCCGGACAAGGACCATGAAAGTGGCATTTTTTTTATAATAAAATATAAATTTTTTTTTTTTTCCTTACAAAAGAAAGAAATTACTTCTTACTTAAGTAGGTATTAGAATAATAAATCTTTATAAATTTTATAAGATTAAATTAATGTAATATTTTAAATAAAAACTTACATTCAAATATTAGTTAAATGGTAAATAAAATTTTAAAATTAATTTCAGAGTTGTAATTAAAAATATTAATTCAATTTATAATAGAAAATCTAGAAATCTAAAGCTTCAACAAAATCTCTTTACATGTTCCGTTCTTACTTGGTTCTCACTTAGAAATATTTTCATCTCTCATATTAATTTTATATGGTAAAAGACTTAGAAAAATTTCATTTTCCCATATTAATTTTATACATGTTCCTTTTTGGCTATTCTGACTGGGTTTTTAAGAATCTACATGTTCCGTTCAGACAAGGTTTTTAAGAATTTACATGTTCCTTTCTGACAAGGTATTCTATTAACTCAAAGCCCAAACATCACAAATTAATTAAATATTTTTTGTATGTATTAAATATAATATTTTTAATTAGAATTATCATCATTTTAATTTTTTTTTTTTTTCAATTTTAATATAGTACCATTTCGACCAGGTTTTCTATTTGAATGGATGGAACATTAAAACATCTTTTGTGTATGTATTAAACACAATTTAAAAAATTATCATCCTATTAATTCTTTTTTTTTATATCTTTATAGTGACTGCTTCAAATAATCAATTTTATTATTTAAATTAATTTTTAAATAAAATAAATAAAATAAATAAAATATTTTTTTTATAAAATTTTAATGATTTTTAATTTTATTTCTGTTTTTTACATTTTAATGCAAAAATATGAAATTTATTATTTTACATTTTATAACATTTTTTTGCATATTCCATCATAAAAATGAGCATTTTTTTTTGCATTTTTTTACATAATTTATCATTTTTTTACATAATTCATCATTATTATGATCTGCATTTTTTACATAATTTATCATTTTTTACATAATTCTTCATTATGATCTGCATTTTTTTACATAATTTATCATTTTTTTACATAATAATGTTTTTTTATTAACTATTATAAAAACTTTTCTTGGATTTAACTTCACGATTTTAATTTTAAAACCAATATATGATTTAACCCTTAAAGTCTCTAAAAAAAATTCAAAAATTCAAAAAAAAAATTTCAAAAAAAAAGCAAAATTTTCAGATAATTTCGTGTGAAATTTTTTTTTTAAAAAAAACAGTAAAAATTTTATTAAAAAAAAAATTAAATAAAACACTAAAAAAATAAAAAAAACTGTTTTATTTCAATATTTTTTATTTTTTGGTGTTTTTTTTATTAAAAATTTTGGTAAAAAAAAAACTATTTTATTGGGAAATTTTATTTTCGAGGTATAAAGCGATGAGTTGATCGGAATGATTGAATATTTCTCTATGGTAGTTGAGATTTGGTTTCCTACAATAAATCCCACTATAGACCGAAGGTAATGATGATGGTTCACCAAGAGGTTTATTGAAAATATTATAAATAGATGCAATTATAAACATAATTTGGTTATGTTTTTCGCGGACTTCTACAACCGATTGGTCCTCGGTCCACATTAGTCTATACTTTTCAAGTATTTTCCATTTTTCTAATCGACACCAAGCTCTTTCTATTAAGGAACGATATCTTGAAATACTTTAGTTTAATTCACACTTGGATTTTGGAAATATAACACAGTATTGCCTAATTTTGGGAAATGCTGCATCAGCAACCAAAAAACCTTCATCTGTAAGCAACCCAACAACTTCACTAAACTAAGAAAATTTAATGATATCTGATCAGGTATAGATCCTTGGAAAGAATGAAAAAGATATTGAAACTTTCCTAATTCATCGACAATACCAATTATTGATATACATTCTATTTTTCTTTGCCACTATGCATATTGGTCCTATATTGTTTTGTAGGTGCGCTACTTGTTGGAGCTAGATTACCATCTATAAATACAGTAAAACCGTTTGAAATTCTGAATTCGTTTTTATCAAACCAGTGACCACGTGCTAACTTTTCTTCTAATGGTAAGATATGAATAGTATTTATTTGTTTAAAAAAATAATCCATGCAATTACACATTTAAAATTTGATTTTAGTTTTATCAGAGTTAGAGTCAAACATAAATAATTTCCAATTCCACTTTTATTTCCTCGTTGTTCGCTAATAAAATTACCTTTAGCGTCCCCATCTTTAGCTGTACCATCGCCTTGATCTTCAGCTGTACCATCATCTATTATTATTATTATTACTGGTTACTAACGCCAATTCGTTAGTTTCTAACACCAAAAAGAAGCTACTAACTTTCGGAATTACCATGCTTGGACATCAAAATAGTAAAAATTTGTTATTTTTCAAAAATAAACATTTTTTAATGAAGAATTTAGGTTTGTATTTCTATAATTATAATAATTATTAACAAAATCTAAAAAAAAAAAAAAAAAAAAAAAAAAATTTTTATTAAAATTTTTAGTAAAAAAAATTAAAAAAATAAAATTTTGTGAAAAAAAAAAAAAAATTTAAAAAATTATAATAAAAATTTTATTAAAAATTTTATTAAAAAAAAAAAGCAAAAAAATTTAAAAAAAAATTTTCACACGAAATCGTGAAAATAAATAAATAAAAAATAATATGTTTTTTTTTGAGTTTAAATAAATAAATATATTTATAAAAATATATTTATTTTAAAGTTTATTTAAAATTTTACAGTTAATTCACTATTATTATTATTATTATTATTGTTTTTATTTTTATTTTATTTATTATTTATACAATTAATAAATAATAAATTGTATAAATAATAAAGTTTGGGCAATTTTGAAATCTGGGTTATGAAATGCAACATTACAAACTTCATGGAGGAACACACTATGACATTCACATTGAGATCTAATATATGAATTTCCTTTATAGTTTACACCTTGAACTGGACTATTACTACACAAAACAAGCACCTCTTTCTTTTCTATTTTCATCAATTGTATATACATTAATGAGTTTTGGAATTATTACTGTATTTCTTGATGTTTTTCTAGTACTTGATATTTTGGTTGATAATTGGTTATTAATTAAATGAAATAAAATCTCTGAAACTGAATTTCTCCCGCTATTTCTTAAATACAATTGTGTAATGTAGTCATTTAGAATAACTCTTGGATAGTTGGGCGAGCGGTTATTTTTCTGTGGGTTTATCATTTTCACTATTATTATTGCTATTGCTATTGTTATTGCTATTGTTATTATTTGTATTTGAAGTATCTATTTGAATGTGTAATAAAATAAATAAAAATTTTAAAAAAATTTATTAAATAAAAAAAAAAAGAAAATTTTATTTTTTTTTATTTTTTTTAAATTAATTCATAATAAAATTAAAATTTTTTTTTTTTTTGCAACCATACATCCCCAGCATTTTAAGGTTAAATCATATATCTTAAAAGACCATTTGCATGAGGTTTACAAAGTATACACAAAATTGGAGATTTATTTTTATCTTGAATATATTTCTCTTTTGAGTCTGAATCTAAGATATATGAATATATTGTTTTATCAAGGGTGCAAACTTTAATTCCTTCAACCAAATCATAACTAATATCACTCATTTCACCTGCAATTCTTTTAACTTGATCATCTGTAAATTTGTAATACTATGATTTATAATTTCCATAATTGTTTTAAAAACACCCAAATCTAACATTAAGGTAATAGACCAATATCCAAAAAGCTCTTCTTTGGTAATCTTTGAAATAGGCTTGGATTTATACTTTTTGGAACCTGCTTTCTGATTTATTGGCATATCTTACAGAGTTGATTCTATAACAATTATTATCGGGTTTGGGCTTTAAAGACTGATAATTGATAACATTAACTGAGGTTGAATTGAGCTGAGCTGGGTTGAAATTACTATCTAACGGTGTACTATTATCAATGTACGAATATAACGGGACATAACAATTAGCTTTACTACAGACTAATTTACTTCTTGAAAGGATTGGATCAGCACCAATGGCATTTAAACCGTTTAAACCTAAAATACATGACGAGGAGATATCGGCATCTCTAAATACTTATAATTCAACTTTCTTTTTATAAATGTCTTCTTTTTCTGAGTTGATTTTACCTAAATTGAGATTTGTTAGCTCCAAAAAGCTATTTACAAATTTTTTATTGAAAAACAAACAAATAACCAATTCTAATGATATTCCATATGTAATAATCTTCGAATACTATTATATATATACATAATATTAAAAGATAAGACATATAAATTAAAAACCTTCATACCTAAACTGTTTGTAAATAAATTAAAGACTCTTTTTGAAATGTAAATTAAAAACCTTTATACAAATAATAACTGTGTGATTAACACCTTTATTTATATTGTTTGTGATAAAAATTAAATTATGAAATTAAAAATTAAAAATTAAAAAATTAATTAAAATTTTTTTAAAAAAAATTAATTTTTAAAAATTTTTAAAAATTAAAAATTAATAAATTTATACAACGTTATTAATATGTTAGAATCCGAGATATCTAACACCATAATGTTTATTTTCAGGTCTTGCATATGTATCTCTATCAACCTAAAAGAGTTCTTCAGATACAATTTTTCCTCGACTTTGATTTAATTCATTGATTGCTTTTCTTTTATTGATAGTATTCATTTTATTAAGTTGTTGATAATTATTATGATAATAATTTTAAAAAAAAATTTTGAAAAAAAACCGAAATTAAAAAATAATAAAAAAAATAATATTCTCTAAAAAAATATTTTAAAAATTATATAAAAATAAAATTTGTTAGACATACAACCATTTTTACATATACACTAATTTAATTATTTTTTTTATTTTTTTTTTTATTTTAAAAAATTGATCGTTTTAATTTTAAATAAAACCTCTTGGGTACAAAAGTATAAGATACATTAAAAATGAATTTTTTATTTTTTATTTTTTATTTTTTAAAATTAGTTATTGTAATTATAATATTGAAGTGGTAATTGAAAAATTATGTGACTGTTTATTGGTTTAAAAAAAAAGTAATATGGAGAATGTTATTTAATTTTGATGAATTAATGTTTGAATTTTGATGATTGTTCTAATTAAAATAAACATTGATTTGGTTACTGTAGTGGCATCATTTATAAAATAATTTTCATATCTAATTGAAATACCATTTAAATTATTTTGATAAAGTAGGTTTTGAAGGTTTGGTATTAGATTTTTGTAATATAAAAATTCTATTATTTCATATCTTGAATAGTGGAAGGAAATGAGTTTTAATAATAAAGCCTGTGTAATTTGAAAATTAAAATTTGGGAAAGCATCACTGGCCAAAATAAATGAATTGGGTGTGGAGTATTTTAAGATTCCTCTAAAGAGTTTATTCATGATTTGGTCCGATAATATCATTTTTGATATGAATTCTTTTTTTTCTTTTAAAATGTACTCAATTGTTGTTGGTGAAGTTAGAGTATCGATATTATTGATCATTTCAATAAATACTGTTGTTTTATCTATATCGCCAAGATGATTTTCCCATAAAAACTCTAAAACTTCAAAATTAACAAATAACATTTGAAAAACCAATGCGGGTGAATCTAATTGATATTTGAAAAAAGTGTTATAGAGTTTTTTAAACCATTCTATAGAGATTTCATGTTGAATAAAAAAGGATAGTTCAAAATCTTCTATTTTTAATATATGGCCGTTTAGATGAATATACTGACAAATACCTTCATAATCGCCATTTTCTAACTTTGAAATAAAATTCTTGTAATGTGGACTAGCTTTTATAATATTATATTTGGAAGAACTATTTAAACCTTTATTTTTGATATTAAATCTATTTTTAAAATTTATGACATTATTATTATTTTTTTCTATTATTGATGAGATGATTTTATTGATGGATTCTGAAAATAATAAGTTATTTATGGGGACTGAGTTTTCTAAAGTATTAAACTCTTTATTAATATCTATTTTGTATGATAGGTTTTTGAAAAAGTACTCCATATCAAAATAATTTAAAAATCCGTTGCAAACTAATGATTTTAAAAAATCTATTGTATTGATGACGTTTTTATCTATCTTAATATTGTTTTTGATTATATTTGAATTTTGGAATTCATTATTTAAAACAATTTCCAATATTATTCCAATTGTATTATAATCTTTGGTTACTATTGCTTCTATTAAAGAGTTTGCCAAAATGTTTGTTTTATTGTAAAAATAAAATTTTAAATATATGCCATTACTATCATTGATTGGTTTTTGGATTACACCACTATATATTTCTAATTTGTTTAGGTTTATAAGTTTTTTTATTCTTTTATAAACTTCTTTTAAAATTATCCTAACTCTCTGAATTTCTAATACTTAGTTCTTCTACATTGATGCATTGAGAAATTCGATAAACTCTGCCTCTGTATTTAAATTCTCTGAAAAAATATCTTCTAATATGCTCTTAGGAATAACGTTTAGAATGTTATCTACAGTTTTTGAAATTTTAATAAAAAAGTGTATTTTGCTGTAGTCCAATACATTTTGTTCATTTTTAACGAAATGGTATTCAAACATTTGAACAAACCTTTTACTAATTAAAAGTGTGTATATCTTTTCGAGCTTTGGGATATCTTTTAACAATTGTATTAGCAAATTAAGACTATGGTACTTTAAGATAAAATTGAAAATTTGCATCCAATGACTAGCTGTTAAATCATTGGGAAAATTTTGGCTGACTATATATGTAAAAAATTCATGCACATCTTCATAATTAAAATTGATTGGACCTTTATACTTTATGGTCTGATGGTATGAATAGTTTTTTTTTCCCAAATATTTGATAAATTTAAAAAAAACAATTTTTGATAAATTATAAATTGCATAGTCAAAAAAAACATTTATATTGAAACCATAGAATCCAAACAATTCCACAAAGTTATCTTCATTTCCAGATGAAATAATACTTAATAGATAAAAATCTTGTACAAAGTAATATATTTCAAAATAAAACTGATCTTTATTAACCAATAAATCTATTGCATTTGATACCAAACCATCAACGGATTTAATTTCACCATTTCTAATTAGAGATTTGAAAATTTCGTGATTTTTTTTTCTATCTATTTCTGTCATTAAATTGATTTTATTTAAAACAAATATTAAACAGTGAAGAAAATTGGTTATATCATATTGTGATAAATTAATTTCGACTTTGCAGTCATCTGAAGATAAAATTTCAATAGCAGCCAACAATGTTTCCATATCCTCTGCACATTTGATTTCTACTCTTTCTTTACATTGAACCATTAAACTTTTTATAGATTCATTGGAATTTTCCCTAATTAATTTCAATTTTTCTTTGTTAAAAAATGAAAATAAACAGTTACAAGAAAACAATGGAATTTGACTAACTATATCATTATTAATAGCTTCTATTATAATATCTTGATAGTTATTTTCATTTGATAATATGGGTGTAAATAGATTATTATTATTATTATTATTATTATTATTATTATTATTATTATTATTATTATTACTATTACTATTATTATTGGTATTATTGTTATTATTATTATTAAATAATTTTATAGTGTTGCTATTGCTTAATACTTTTAATATTTCTTTGACATCATCGATTTTAGGATCTACACCCATTATTGAT